GATTTATACAAACTTTCATCCCCTATTTTATCCCCTTAGGGGTGGAATTTATCAAAATCCTTTCTTAGGGGATGCCTACGTCATAGTAGCTTTATGCATGCAAAGTCTCAGCCCGATCGGTTTAAAATTGACAAAGTTTCATACAAACTTTCATCCCCTATTTTATCCCCTTGGGGGTAGAATTGATCAAAATCCTTTCTTAGCGGATGCCTACGTCATAACATCTACCTGCATGCCAAATTTCAGCCCGATCCGTCCAGTGGTTTGGGCTGTGCGTTGATAGATCACTATGTCAGTCACCTTTGAGTTATATATATTTAGATTTACCAATATCGAGTGGCGCTGACAACGATGCTAAACGTTGGATATTGGAGCTACCGTGGAAAATGCCAATAAAGACCGCTAAATAAGACGACAACACAGAAACACAGATGTTTTCATGTTTCGTTCTCTAGGATTTATGATGATTATATTAACATTTACTGTAGATGTACATATTTTAATATGATTTTATGTGTTTTAACGCTTTTCTAATGATATAACGACTTCAATATTTGTGGCGGTCAGACGTAAAGTCGAATAAAATTACTTAAATTTGATTTTTATTTTTCTATATATTTTTTGACAAACGACGTATAATCGAGAACGACGTAACTCGAGGTATACCTGTAGTATACCTCGAGTTGTCCTTAGAGTTTTCTATTAATCTGTTTGATTTGATTAAGAATATTGCTGCCGGGATCTTTCGAGTATCAAAAAGAAACAATGAATTCCGCCACGAAGGTGTAATTACCAGACCTAATTGTTCCATTGACGTGTTTGAAAGGCCGTCTGTACGGTAGATTAATCGGTAATAAAAACAGAATAATCATTTATCTCGTATTTCTGTTGCCCAAACCGGTTACTGCTACCGGTCGTCTACAATTTCGTAGCTCGTATTATTACTGTCGATAATTAGATATATTCTAATACCAACATAAAACTTTTATTCATTTCTGCTGTTTCTTCTTTGTTATTTATTTACCGAACTTTGCGAAAAGATTTCTTAAATCGAACTATTCGTTAATTTATACAAATCGGTAAAAAAAGAAAAGAGCTCTCGACAGATTCTTTTCGAGAAGGGCGTGAACACACCAGAGAGCTAATTGACTTCTAACACCTTTACTTATCGACGATTCTCTTAAGTTCCGCCACTCGTACTAATCAGTAATTACTAGTGTTTATTTTGGCCGGAGGAGGTCGACGGTTATGTTGGCCGGTGCTTTTACCATCGGTAGACTCGTTCTTATCCTTTGGAAAAGTTTCCCTCCGTAAATAAGATCGTTCCTCGACGATTACGACGAAAATGATTAAGTATTCCTTGCATGTTTTTCTTTAAATGACATAAGAATGTTATTTGTATTTCCAGTCGGATTTTCCGTTCCTAAAAGATCGTTTATATCCTTCGTTTTTCGAATCAAATAGAGAAAATTCTTCCCATTCGCTTCAGTCCGAATTAGCACGACAATTTCTCGTTTTCCGTTTCCGGAAACTCGTAGATTCCTGGAACACGTCCATTCTGGTTCCTCGGCTGGAGCATTCGCACCGCTTTTCGGTCATTCTTTGATTTATTCGGATGAAATTAAAAAGACGAGGACGTCATCCGAGAGCAATATATCAAATTAGGCGCGTTCTTCTTCCGTCGATCAAACAATGATCGCTATCCAATTCTCAATAAAATAATAATCGTAGGGGAAACGTAAGAAGGTTGAAGTTTGGGGAAACGTTGAAGTTTTAAATTTCTGGGAACCGCTTTAAAATATTTTTACATGTATATATTAAAATAAAAATTTTTACAACGTACAGTGCAATAGAAAATATACATATATTTTATTTAAGCAACATGAAAATACTACTGCTACATAACGTACTACAACTATCAATATAAATTGAAAATAAATTTTGAAAACTTCATCTATGTGGGGTCCCCTGGATTCGGGACTTGAAACTTAAGCTTCATTAGTTTCAATTTAGATCAGTCCCTGAACTTGAGATCCATTATTTATTTTAGGGGTTTCCTTAATAACAAAAAGATCTCTTGCCAACATCTGGGCGAATATTCATAAAATATAATACGTTATTCTCTCACTGGACAGAGATAGTTTTTGAACAATTCCGCAAGACTCTCGTTCCGTGAAATTGTTCTATATCCAGCGTCTTCAGTCAATATTCTTTCTAACAAACAATAATCGATTATCATATCGATTACGCTATCCGAATGTTACCATAATGCAATGCGACAAAATAGAAACCGATCGGACCGACGTGAAAAGTAAAAAAAGCGATTGTTTTGCGGTCGTTTTCGACAAAGAATGGAAGAAACAACTTCGACAGATAAATACAGAAGTGTTTGAATGAGTGTCATGTGGTCGGTCGTCTCTTCCTAATCTTTCCGTAAGATGAAGATGAGCGATTTATGGTTTTCGTTCGTGACCGTAAACGAGCCAATCGAAGGTTCCAACTCGAATTATTTTTTTATTATTATTAAAGACACTTTTCATAATATAACTGAGGTGTGGTCTGGGCGTCCGAGCTAATGATGCCGGTAATGGAAGAAAATAGATGATCCGGAAAGTTTCTTCCACGGGATTGGAAAACGGAAAAGCGTTTCTCTTACACCTTGAACAAGTTACATGTGGGTTTTGACGCCATGCGAAGTCTACACCTTTTGGGGTCTGACCATGTCTTCGGTGCATAATTTTGTCCCGAATCATGAATAATATCACATTTCTGAGACGGCGTTTGATGTCGAGACGGTTCCATCGATCTCCGGATAAGAACGCAGACTAAATTTCCGCCGATTTTCGGCAAACGCTTACGCCCTCCAAGTTGTTTGTAGATGACGAAGGAAATCTTGACCACTCCTTCCGAGTTACGAAACGTCCCCGGATCAGGACGAAGAGAGCTTTGCTAATTTACTTCCTGGATAAGAGATTACCCAGTGTTACTCGGCGCTCTTCCACTCTAGGCGATGATTCCTGTTATCCAGTCTCTGTATTTGGTGATGCGAACGCAGACTCCGGGCATGTTGGGTTGAGCGCATCCGACGCCCCATGATATGATTCCCGCTAAAATCCACTTTCCATCGTCATCTTTTATCTGTAAAGGTCCTCCCGAATCTCCCTGCGATGAAAAATTTGCCTTACCATTGCACCGAGACGTTTAATTTTTTATTTACAATTTATCGTCATCGACGTCCCGATACTCACCTGACAGGAATCGCGACCTCCCTCGGCGAATCCGGCGCATAGAAACGTTTCCGGAACCACTTCCAGTTTTCCGGCTTGGCGAAACATCTCTCTGCATCGCTGGTTGCTGATAATGGGCACTCTCACTTCTTGCAAAACCGAGGGGAGGATTCCTCCTGCCGAAGAATTGTTATATCAGTCGAGGACAAACAAATGGAAGAGAAAGAAATAGCACAGTACAATACAATACCTTCTCTGAGTCGACCCCATCCGGTAATCACGGCCTCTCTTCCTGCGAAAGCATCGTCGGTAGACGGCAGACATATGGGAAAAACGTGGGGTCGAAAGACCAAGGGATCGGTCAGTCTAACCAAGGCCAAGTCGTGTTCGTAAGTGAAAACATTGTAACCCGGGTGCAGAACCTTACCTCCCACGTTTTTCTCCATTTCTGGAAAGGGTTCGTTCGTGCTGCCGAAGTCGTGTTCGCCCACTCTGATTCTCATCCTGGACGGGTACAAACTGAAATCGAGAAAGTTTACACTGAAAAAACGTAATTTGACGAAATGATAACGCGGAGAAACGCAGGATCAATAGATGGATAGAAGGGAGGGAGAAATATTACTCTTCAACGCAGTGGGCGGCGGTGGCAATCCACAATCGGTTGAGGATGACGCCTCCGCATCGATGAGTGCTGGCGAATCCGTAGCTTCCTCGAACTTTCCTGATGGACACCTAAAAAGAGGTCGTTTGTAATTTTTGTCAGCCCACAATTAAGAACACGAGGAGCTCACCTGCCAAGGCCAAGAACCAAAAGCGGCGTCGCTTCCTCCCACTACTTTGGATCGGTGGGTGTCGAAGGGAACTCCGCATTCTGAACGAAACAAAAGTGATTACGACGCGAGTTACTTTAATAATTAGAACAATACTCTTATAAAGAACTTTCAAGACAGATCGCCGATCGGTCCTCCGACAGAAAGGAAAGCGGCGCGTATAAGTTAAAAGAGCGAAAGAAATTTTTATGGTTCCGGTGACTGGTGTCAACGCCAACTTCGACCCGCCGAGAGGGTTCCGACCCGACTCATTCCGGGAAAAATCTAACGAGAAATCGGTAGGGCGTGGCGGTGAACGGCCCGATTACACGGAGACCCACTAATTGTTTTCCCGGGCGAAGACACCGGGACCGTGTCGTTACGCGGGCCAATGCCCCCGAGGAGGACGAGGTCGGATCGTTCCTCGGCCCACGGTACCATACTCCAATTTTATTAATAAAAAGAAAAAACGTTGTTCCGATTGGAAATTCTGCGTCAATTAATCCCTGAAATAGGTTAAGGAAGAGACGATTTCCGTATTCCGAAAAGTGGCATTTCGTTAAGGATCGTCGGTCATCACACACGAGAGCGAGTACACTCTACGAAAGGACTACACTTTGGAAGAAATTCCTTCGATTTTAATCCGATGTAAGTACGTCAAACAGAAAATAAAGTTCTCCCTTTTCAATGTAAGAAGGCGCTCAAATACAGTACATGTATATTAATTTTAAAAATCCGGGAAAAGCGCGAAAGACAACATATTCTCCTAACCCCGAGATTAGTGGACGCCTAGGCGTGGGATCCGAGTCGGAAATCGGGAAATTTTCGCTTGTGGTGGGGTCTGGAAGTGTTCTGCTATACTAAAATAAACCCGTGATCGTAAGGATGGACAGCAGCTAGGCAGATACTTTCTAGCGAGTGAGAAAAACGTGAAAGAAGAGATACTCACCTGGACGAGGTTTCTTTCGGCGATCGGTCTCCGTCGGGCGGACTCCGTTTTCGGAGGAGGAATTGTGGAAATGGGAAGCCGTCCACTGGGCGGGAGGTTGTTCTTCGGCGTTTCCTCGGCGCCAGCAGCAGCTTCCGACCAGAAAGGAGTCGGTGCAGGTTCCGAGATGTTTTCCTTCGGCTCGGATGCATTCCCAAACGAACATGCAGGTTCCTCGTTGACGCTTGCCGTTGAAACAGGGTTTGGGTTTGATGGAGACCGACCAGGCTGAAAAAAAAGCAAAGTAATTTAGGAACTTCCGGTCGACGGTCGTCTGATTTTCTGTCCGAATTGTTTCCGAAGACGGAAATTCTGCGGCCGACCTCCACAAGCGACATTTTTTGCTCAGAAAAAATCCTTTCGGGTATAAGTACGGCGAGTTCTCGTTTTTAAGTGACCCACTTAAAAAAGATGGCGTTTGTCCAGCAAATGCACGTGGCAAAGTGATAAATTCGGCATTCTCCTAAGAGCGAAGTTTTGTTGTATCTGGACATTCTTGTTCGAAGATCCTAAGGCAGGATTCGAAATGATGGAAAGTTTCCTTAGCCGTTTATATGTGTTAGCGTTTGAAAAAAGTCTAGTACTGATGGATATCAACAATGCTTTTACGTCATCATCTTTCAATTGTAACAATACTTTCAGATGAAGATTCACTCAAATTTCTTTTTCGTAGTCCGAGTCATCTGCTTAAACCATTCCGATCCGATTTAATAACCGTGGTCATATATTTAGCACAGAACCGAAGATACACTTTCGTTTACACCTCATTTGTGCATTGCTATGATTTTTCATTCAATATAGTGTCGATATCCTCACCGAGAGTGAGTCATCGGGTAGTGTGACTTTGAAGTTTCAAATTAAAATGTAAGCATCGAAATACGGAGTGGGTGACTACGAAATCGCAAAGAACTGCGTAAACAGAGAATTGTTAATAAGCGGCTAGTGGAAAAGTCTTATTTTCTGCCATCTTTGGAGATCCACTCGTTCGTCACTCTGCTTTGGCGGGAACCGGTACGGCCAAACCGGGTGGTTAACGGAGGAAAAAAGTCCAGGGGGAAGGTCGGCGGTCGGCCGACCTTTAATCGGGTTACCGAGACGTCACCGGCCGGTCGGACTGCGTTCCCAGTCGACGGCCGCGCGTCCGTAGACGACAGGTCGAAAACCCCGAAAGTATCGAAAGGCGGCGGTCCACTTTTTTCCCTTCTCTCCAGTAAAGTTCCCGACTAAGACGGCGTTACTCAACGATTTCCGAGGTGGGACCGCTCGTGCGATCTAATGATCTGTGGGCCATTAGACAACGCCACGCCTAAAACTCGGCTAATTCGATTATTTTCGGTGGTGATCGGCCGGAACGTCGTCATTAACAGGACGGCGTCGCGTTCGGTCGTTGATTTTATTTTCGGGATAGTGACGAAATTTCCCAGGGTTCTAATTCGGACTCTGAGGGCGACGTTTAAGTCCACGTGAAAATTTTCGATTGACGCGAAAAGTCAAAGGCTGATCGTCTTTGATAACAGACTCTGTCTTCCCTTAGTTTAATCCTTAAATTGTCGACGGCGATAGACCGGGAAGGGGTCGGGCGCGGGGGCCGGAGAGAGAGAACAATTAAAGGGAGACTTACCTTGCTTAAAGGTAACGAGGGCGAAGACCAAAGTGATGTTCATGTCGTCGGACTTCCCTGGGGACGGCGCTGCGACTGGAATTCGGCATCCGTCGACTTATTCCTGAAAAGAGAGGCGTTACCGATCATAGGACGGCGTCCGGGTCCTCCTTTTGCCGTCGTCGCCCGACTTTTCCCTCTTCCGTCGACCTCCCCTTCGGCTCCTTACCGGAAAAGCGGTCGTCGCCCTCCCTTTCTCCACCCCTCTCCGTTTCTGGAAGCCGGTCCCGTCTCCGTGCGGGGACCGAGTGGCGCCGAGGCCTCCCGGACCATCCGCAGGACAGCAGAAGTGCATTTAATTTTACGAAAAAGGAGAAATCGTACGGAAGGGCGATGGTCGCTTCGATCGTTAGGGAAGGGACGGTCGTCCATCTCGCCTGTCCCGTAACTTTTTGATTGCAGGTGAGACTCACCTGTGGAGAATTCCGTTCTCCGACCGCGATTCTGCCCGGCCACGGCCGATGCGCTGGCCTTCGCTCTATTAATAACGGACCGCGATTCGAACGTCGACTCGATCGACCGTTAACCTGCCACCGGTCGGTCACGGTCGGGCGAAAGCGCGCCGACTCGGACGTACAGTACGACGCCGATTCTTCTCCGCCCGGCAGCGCGCGCGCGCTTTTAGGAAGGCGGGCGGCCGTTTCCGGTTCCGGTCGATCCCTCCGGCTCTCTCCCGCCTTCCGGACGGGACCGGTCGGTGCCGAGAACTAAACCATCGGAGGACAGGGCCTCTATTAGTGGTTACCATCCAATTCGGCTCCAGCGGGATCGGCCGAGAGCGGAAAACGCGACCGACGTGGCGTCGACGGTGACGTCGTTTCCGGCAAACTTTCCGTTTGGCCGACGACGCCGACATTCCGACACGTCGAACTTTTCCCCCAGCCGGGAATATCTGCCTCCGACTGGAACGACGAATTTCTCGAGATCAGAAAGAGCGAGATTTAAACTCGTAAAGCTTTCTACTGCGATATTTGTATACGGTGTATGTAAGCTGTCAGATTCGTCGGAACCATAAAACAATCGCGACGAAACTAAAGTTACTATTAAGTACACGTGTAGCTATTTGTAAATCTAAATTGACTAATGGTGTGAAATTCCAGAAAATTAACAATCTATAGAAAACATTTTTTGTACATGACACAAAACGGTTTCGCTGACATCTTGTTAAACAAACCTTTATCCTTTTAATAGTCTATTATGGATAAAGATTCTAGGCTAGAATATTATATATGAAGGTTTATTTATATTGTAGACAGATTCTGTAGATTACTGTAATTTCTTTAAACAATGTTTATTGACCAACGAATTAGTACAATTTCGAGAGATAATGTACAGTACTGTACGCGTAAACTAAAACATAAATATCGATCGTATAAGAAGGACCGTCGAGAGCTTTTATGGGAACCGAAGTAGAGTGGGTCCTTTAACCTGTTGTTTTTTAAACATATGAAATAGCCTACGTGGTATGTTCCTTTATTAATAAAAGCAGTCTTAAAGATTTTTTTCGCTAACGGAAAGTAATGTTAATTTTATACGGGTAGAAATAACTAAGAGCTCCTAAGTTTACTTCGGGCTCGAGAAAAAAAGCTCATTTCTCCTCCACTCTCGATGGCCCTGCGTATAAGCTGCCCGAGCGCGCACTTTTCTCAGGGCAAAAAGTACAAACGACAGAGCCGTAGCTTATTGGAACGTATTTGTTCCCCACGTTAAACACAGCTAATGTTAAAGCTAACTTCTTAATATTGTAGATATTATGAAAAAGGCAAATAATATATGTGAATATTGGGTATTACATACATACGTGTTGTTACGGATCTGTTATCAGGCTTCAGACTGTATACTGTACTGTAACTTTGTTTAATTAATTCAGTTTATCATGATTATCTTTGTAAATATTTAATTTAATATATATTTTAAAAATTCGATTTAGAAGTCTGTGTTGATTTTTCTTTTATTCCTAAAGACGGAGGAAAAAGTTTCGAGTAGCCCTTGAAATTTCCCAATCGATGAACGACGACGTTTATTCGTCAGTTTTTCCGTTACGTCGGGTGAAGGATGAGGTAAGTANCCCGCAGTGTTCCATAATACCACCTTCTCCTCTATTATATCGGCTATATTTTATAAAATTTTTATATTTATGTCATTCGAAATCATAAATGTTCTTTTTGAGTTTGAAAATTTTAAAATACCCTTCCTTTTCTATTATATCCGTATTATAGAAAGTATTTAGGTTAATATTTTGTATCATTTCACTGTTAAAAAGTTCTTATAGAATGTCTATGTGTATAATATTAAGATATAGCCTAATTTATACAATTGTAGCCTATTTCGCTTCACGCATTTCTCTGTATTTTGTTTATGTTTGCATTTATACGGATGATCAGGTACAGGTATACCTCGCCTTACGTCGGTAATTGGTTCCAGGAGAGGCGACTTAATTCGAAAAACGACGTAAGTCGAATTTACTTGCCACAAATAATCGTTCCCAGTCCTGTATTTTATTTATAAATGCATTTTTAATAACATATGGTTAATAAGAATCTATTTTAAGCTTACAAACAAATAAATTTTAGTTTTTGATATAGTACAGAAAAAAGTAATCTAAATTTATGAATTCATGTACGTACAGACTTATAAATGTAGATGTTTACAATTTGGCGATGTTTACAGTACATCGCGGACTCTTTATTTGTGAATGTGGTTTGCTCTAAGACATTATAAAATAAGATGATTTTGTAAGGTTAAATAACAAATACAGTTATTAGAATTATCTTGGACAGTAGAAAATAAACTAATTTATATTAAACTAGCTTTTGCCCGCGGCTTCGCTCACGTTAAGAAGTATTATTATTAATTAGGTATTGTTTTTGCGGCTTTACTTTTGTTTAGCGTGTGTAAAAAATTACGGCCTACAAAACTTCTTTGTACACAATATTCTTAACTAATCTGTCATTAGGCGCTAAAACTATCAAGCTATTGGGTGAACTTACTCGTGAGCAAGCAACATAAAACTGTCCATGAGAGAACATTCTTCAACTTCTCCATTAACGTTCAGATTTTCTTTAGCCATTTTAAAAAAGTCTAACCGACAAAACCTATACTTAAACCAAACGAAAACAAAACAAATGCCAAATACAAAGCAGAGTCTATAACCAAAACTACTAAACCGAAACAAAGCAAATGCAATCCAAAATATGCCAAGAAAAGAACAGCCAAAATCGTCAAATATAATCCGCTAGAAATATTTAGGTATAGTATGTACTATTAGATACGGCGGCCNCTCCTAAGAGCGAAGTTTTGTTGTATCTGGACATTCTTGTTCGAAGATCCTAAGGCAGGATTCGAAATGATGGAAAGTTTCCTTAGCCGTTTATATGTGTTAGCGTTTGAAAAAAGTCTAGTACTGATGGATATCAACAATGCTTTTACGTCATCATCTTTCAATTGTAACAATACTTTCAGATGAAGATTCACTCAAATTTCTTTTTCGTAGTCCGAGTCATCTGCTTAAACCATTCCGATCCGATTTAATAACCGTGGTCATATATTTAGCACAGAACCGAAGATACACTTTCGTTTACACCTCATTTGTGCATTGCTATGATTTTTCATTCAATATAGTGTCGATATCCTCACCGAGAGTGAGTCATCGGGTAGTGTGACTTTGAAGTTTCAAATTAAAATGTAAGCATCGAAATACGGAGTGGGTGACTACGAAATCGCAAAGAACTGCGTAAACAGAGAATTGTTAATAAGCGGCTAGTGGAAAAGTCTTATTTTCTGCCATCTTTGGAGATCCACTCGTTCGTCACTCTGCTTTGGCGGGAACCGGTACGGCCAAACCGGGTGGTTAACGGAGGAAAAAAGTCCAGGGGGAAGGTCGGCGGTCGGCCGACCTTTAATCGGGTTACCGAGACGTCACCGGCCGGTCGGACTGCGTTCCCAGTCGACGGCCGCGCGTCCGTAGACGACAGGTCGAAAACCCCGAAAGTATCGAAAGGCGGCGGTCCACTTTTTTCCCTTCTCTCCAGTAAAGTTCCCGACTAAGACGGCGTTACTCAACGATTTCCGAGGTGGGACCGCTCGTGCGATCTAATGATCTGTGGGCCATTAGACAACGCCACGCCTAAAACTCGGCTAATTCGATTATTTTCGGTGGTGATCGGCCGGAACGTCGTCATTAACAGGACGGCGTCGCGTTCGGTCGTTGATTTTATTTTCGGGATAGTGACGAAATTTCCCAGGGTTCTAATTCGGACTCTGAGGGCGACGTTTAAGTCCACGTGAAAATTTTCGATTGACGCGAAAAGTCAAAGGCTGATCGTCTTTGATAACAGACTCTGTCTTCCCTTAGTTTAATCCTTAAATTGTCGACGGCGATAGACCGGGAAGGGGTCGGGCGCGGGGGCCGGAGAGAGAGAACAATTAAAGGGAGACTTACCTTGCTTAAAGGTAACGAGGGCGAAGACCAAAGTGATGTTCATGTCGTCGGACTTCCCTGGGGACGGCGCTGCGACTGGAATTCGGCATCCGTCGACTTATTCCTGAAAAGAGAGGCGTTACCGATCATAGGACGGCGTCCGGGTCCTCCTTTTGCCGTCGTCGCCCGACTTTTCCCTCTTCCGTCGACCTCCCCTTCGGCTCCTTACCGGAAAAGCGGTCGTCGCCCTCCCTTTCTCCACCCCTCTCCGTTTCTGGAAGCCGGTCCCGTCTCCGTGCGGGGACCGAGTGGCGCCGAGGCCTCCCGGACCATCCGCAGGACAGCAGAAGTGCATTTAATTTTACGAAAAAGGAGAAATCGTACGGAAGGGCGATGGTCGCTTCGATCGTTAGGGAAGGGACGGTCGTCCATCTCGCCTGTCCCGTAACTTTTTGATTGCAGGTGAGACTCACCTGTGGAGAATTCCGTTCTCCGACCGCGATTCTGCCCGGCCACGGCCGATGCGCTGGCCTTCGCTCTATTAATAACGGACCGCGATTCGAACGTCGACTCGATCGACCGTTAACCTGCCACCGGTCGGTCACGGTCGGGCGAAAGCGCGCCGACTCGGACGTACAGTACGACGCCGATTCTTCTCCGCCCGGCAGCGCGCGCGCGCTTTTAGGAAGGCGGGCGGCCGTTTCCGGTTCCGGTCGATCCCTCCGGCTCTCTCCCGCCTTCCGGACGGGACCGGTCGGTGCCGAGAACTAAACCATCGGAGGACAGGGCCTCTATTAGTGGTTACCATCCAATTCGGCTCCAGCGGGATCGGCCGAGAGCGGAAAACGCGACCGACGTGGCGTCGACGGTGACGTCGTTTCCGGCAAACTTTCCGTTTGGCCGACGACGCCGACATTCCGACACGTCGAACTTTTCCCCCAGCCGGGAATATCTGCCTCCGACTGGAACGACAAACTTCTCGAGATTTAAACTCGTAAAGCTTTCTACTGCGATATTTGTATACGGTGTATGTAAGCTGTCAGATTCGTCGGAACCATAAAACAATCGCGACGAAACTAAAGTTACTATTAAGTACACGTGTAGCTATTTGTAAATCTAAATTGACTAATGGTGTGAAATTCCAGAAAATTAACAATCTATAGAAAACATTTTTTGTACATGACACAAAACGGTTTCGCTGACATCTTGTTAAACAAACCTTTA